TCTCTTAGATTCCCATTGCTGCTTTAATTTCTTTTGTCTGTTAGCATCCAGATTTACGGCCTGCATTGGTTAGTGTGTGGAGCTGAGGTGCCATGTGAGCTGCCTGCATCCCAAGCCTCTTCTGAGCATGGGAAGCAGCAAGATTTGCAGTCACAGCTCCAAAACAGATCAGCACCTTTCCTAGCTCGGTTTGAAAGTTAGAAAAGCTGCACAGGGATAGAGGTGGCTCTGGACAGGAGGTGAATGAAGGCTGGTGGTTAATGTTTGAAATGGAATGTGTTTGTTGCAAAACAGTGATAGGCACAGAGCAGTTACATTGAAAGCTATCTATCTAAAAATCATATGCTCCATTTGTTATAGACTGTTGGCACTTGTTGTTTTGGTTGGAAATCTGTTTCCCCAGTTCTGCTTCTGTGAGCACTGCATCTCTTCTACCAGTCCCTGAAGAGGGCTGAGGTTTCATTCACCACGGGACTATTTCAATGGGACCAGGTGATGCAGGTGATGATCTCTGGAAGCCATCAGCAGCACCAGGGTAGTCATGTTTTAATGGTCTTGAAATCCCTGGGAGCACTAAGCTAAGGTACCTGCTCAGTCTTCCAGTCCTTTCAGAAAGCATCAGAAAAGGGAATTAGTACTGGACAGAGGTGTCTAGTGACCACGTTACCAGAAGCTGCCATTTGGCAGCACCATGAGGTGGTACCTGGCATCACTCCTCCAAAGGCAGCCAGGAAAGACCTGCTGGTGATGCCGGTGCCTGCCCGGCTGTGAGTGCCTCCCTGCTGGCTGTCCCGGGCAGCCTGTGCAGGGCAGCGTGTCCTGCCCGGGGCTGTGCCCTGGGAGGCTCCTCCAGGTGTAGGTGCTGCCTTTCAGCCGGGCTGCGGGTCTGTCCCCCTCCTGTTGGAAAACGGGGGACGTCGCACAGTTGTCTTGCTTTGGCTTTGTGGCTGCTTAAGAAGTTGCCTGGGAAGAAAACCATGTGAGTGGCTGGAGGGGACAATTCCAAGAGGAGGGTCTTTAGGAGTGAAGTGTTGCTTCTGCCCAGCTGGGTGAGAGCTGGGCAGGGTTGTTATGACATAACTCTTTGGAGGGGTTGGAGGGAAGAGAGAGAGAGAGGGAGAGGGAGGGAGCGAGCAGCACCCTGTCTGGTATCAGAGACAGGATCTGGCAGCTGTGGGGTGAGCTGCTCCCACCTCTGCACCACCCAGAGCATCCTGGATCTCCAGCTGGAAGGGCAGTGAGAAGCAGCAGCAGCACCAATCATGGCAACGCCAAATGGTTTTATTTCTTCGTGACCTCTCCTCTCTCTCATCAATAATTTACCGAAGGGTTTTGGTTTTTTTCCCCGATGCTCCCACCAGCCCCCCCTTCTTCTCACTCTCTTTTTTGATGTGGAGAGAGGGGAGAAAAGGGGGCACTGGAAATTTTTTTCGGCAGCTTTTTGTGGTGTGTTTGAAGGAGCTCGTGAAAGGACCCGGGTAAAGAGAGACAGAAAGAAAGAAAAGAGAAAAAAAAAAAAAAAAAAAAAGGCACGAAGTGGTGGCGGGAGGGAGGAGGAGGAAGAGAGAAAAGAGGCAGAGGGAAGAAGCCGGAGGAAAGAAGGCTCTCAGCGCGGCGCTGCCGGGCGGTGCGGGTGTGTGTGTGTGTGTGTGCACG